TGTTTTTCTTGGAGACAGAGTCTCACTATGTGGCTGTGACTGGCCTGTAACTTACTATGTAGACCAGGCTGCCCTTAAACTCACCAAACTCCATTTGCCTCTGCCTTCTGAGTTCTGGGATTACAGCATTCACCAACATATCCAGTATGAAGAATTTATATTGGTTGAAGGCATGGTGTCGCAGCTCTCAGACTGAGGCAGGTGGATCAAAAAAGTCAGTGTAACTGATCTGGCAGAGAAGCATTTAATCCCAGTACTCAGGAAGCAGGTGGATCTCTTAGCAAATTCCAGGCTAGCCAGGGTTACAACTCTGTCTTGAGTTTGAGACAAGGGGCCCCATTTTGTTCCCAGAGTGGCACATGACAGTTTACCAGTTTATCAGTTTTCTCTCCCCTTCTCAAGCAAAAAAAAAAATGAAAACCAAAACAAACAAGTTTGCAAGTTTAGTAGAAAATATTTGTGAAAACTGTGTGCTAAAAAAAATTTTTTTTTCCCAGTGTAGATTATGGCCGAAGAAAAAGAAATGCTTTTAGGATTCAGGTAGAAAAAGGTGAGTCTTTCACTATTGGAGCAGAATTATCAACATTTATGGAAATACTAGTTTTAGCTCATGACATTTTATCGTTTACTTGTTTCAGTATTTAACGTAATTAGTAGTGAGAAAGAACTGAAGAACCTTAAGGAATTAGAAGATGAACATCTGTCAAAAAGAGCACGAAGAGACGAAGACGATGAGTGAGTATTGCTAGGCACGCCCCCAAGTCCCACAGGCACACCTGGAGACCCTCCAGGGCTCCTTTCGGGCAGTGGTGCAGCCACGCCTGAACATCTTTCTACCTTACACTCTCTTTCCCTCCAGCCGTATTGATCTCTACTCCTAAAGATGCTTTGACTGCTTTTCAGTAACTTGAGTATTCATTTCTTTTTCACAAATCCCACTCAACCTTAACACGTCAGTGAAGATGTCAGTCTTGGGCCTTCTTAGATCCTTCACATCTGGTTACAGAGATTTGCTGTGATCTTTGTATCGTGTGGCATGGAAATTGTTTACTGTTTTGTATTACCAACAGAGTTGTCTCATCATTATTATTCTTTGCTTTAATATAACGCCAGGTATATTAAAAGATGGCAGTAAATTTTAATGTTTAAATATGTTATGACTGGAGCACTCATGTTAAAAATGACAACATTTGGGTTGGGGATTTAGCTCAGTGGTAGAACACTTGCCTAGCAAGCGCAAGGCCCTGGGTTCGGTCCTCAGCTCTGGAAAACAAAAAACAAAAAAACAAAAAGGAAAGATTGGATTGATGGCTCAGTTCTGCCAGAGGAACCAGGTGTGATTCCCAGCACTCACATGGTTGCTCACAGCTGTCTGTAACTGCAGTTACAGGGGTACACACGTGGCACATGTACATGCATGTAGTCAAAACACCTGTACACATTAAAACAAAACAATGAGACATTCCTTATTATTTGATAGATAAGGAAGCTAATATTCAGTGACATTAAGCACAGGTTTTTAGCTGGTTAAATGGATTTTTACTTTTAGTTTAGTTTCGAGACAGGGTCTCTCTGTGTACTCCTGGCTATCCTCGAACTCTGTAGGTAGATCAGGCTAGCCTCACCCCACAGAGACCAGCCTTCTCTCTACTTCTCGAGTTTGGGGAATAAAGGCACGCACAGGTACACCTGGCTGTTTAAAATGGATTTTTAGATCCCAGTTTCTTTGATCACAATACTCTTTTTCCTAAGATTTATTTGTATTATTTACTTGTTTTGTTCTTTAATTTAAGATTTTTAATATAATGTATTTTGATCGTGTTCCCCTCCCAGTTTCTCCTAGATTCTCCCCACCTTCCTACCCACTCAACTTCGAGTTCCTTTTCTCTCTCCCTCTCAAGCAAAAAATGAAAACCAAAACAAACAAAAACTAGTAAGAAAAAAAATGCTAAAACAAAAAGGCCACAAAGAAACCTTGGAGTTCGTGTTGTGTTAGCCAGCTAACTCCTCCCAAACATGAGGCTTCCTTGGAAAGTGGTCAACCTATCCAGTGACACTCCCTTTCCTGGTAGCTTTCAGTTAGAATTAACGTCTTGTGCCCCTCCCTTTTCAGTGGTGGGACTCTGTCCAGTTTGAAGCTGTGCAGGTCTTGCACATGCTGCCACAGTGTTGTGTGAGTTCACGTGTGCATCAGTCGTGTTGTGTCCGGAAGACTGTTTACTTGAAGTCATCCACCACCTATGGCTCTTGCAACCTTTCTGCCTCCTCTGCTGCATAGATCCCTGAGCCTTGAGGGAGGGGTTTGGTGAAGACATTCCATTTAAAACTGAGTGCTCCAAAGTCTTTCACACTGCGCATGATCCAATTGTGGGTCTCTGTATTAATTCTCATCTAGTGTACAAAGAAGCTTCTCCCATGGTGGTTGAGTGGTACGCTGGCCCGAGGTTGGTTTTGTTTTGTTTTAAATTATTTTTGTAAGTGAGTGTGCCTGTGTTAGTGGATCCCATATGTATGTGGGTGCCTGTGGAGGCCAGAAGAGGGCATCATATCACTTGTGAACTGGAGTTAGGAACCAAACTTGGCCTTCTGTAAGCACAGCAAGTGTTCTTAACCACTGAGCCATCCATCTCTAAGGCTCTCACTTGGACTCTTTTTTTTTCCTGTTGTTTTTGTTTGTTTGTTTGTTTGTTTGTTTTATTTTTTGTTTTTCAAGACAGGGTTTCTCTGTGTAACCTTAGGTGTCCTGGAACTCACTGTGAGACCAGGCTGGCCTCAAACTCACAGAGACCCACCTGCCTCTGCCTCCCGAGTGCTGGGATTAAAGATTTGTGCCACCACCGCCCCCCAGCCAGCCCTTGAACTCATCATGATTTGCCTTAATATATTGACTTATTTGACACAGTAAGAGAAAAGGCTCCAAAACTTTTTACTTTCTCTCTCTCTCTCTCTCTCTCTCTCTCTCTCTCTCTCTCTCTCCCTCTCGCTCTCTCATCCTTAGGTACACTGAAAGCTATTCTGATGATGATTCAAACATGGAAGATTACCCGGATCCACAGGTAAGCCAAACATTGAGTGAGCCCACTTTGATTTCTTTTTCTTTCTCTCTTTTTTTAAGATTCATTTATTTTTGTTTTATGTATTTGACTGTTTTATCTGTATGTATGTATGTGTGCCTGAGAGAAGAGGGCATTGGATACCCTGGAACTGGAGTTAGGAGCAGCTACTTCGTGAGACCCGGGAACTGAACCTGGGTCCTCTGCAAGAGCGGCCAGTGTTCTCAACTGCTGAGCCATCACTCCAGCCCCAGTTTTTTTTCTTACTCATTGTGATCCTTTCTTAGAAAAAAGTTAAAAATAGAGTGAAGGACCATGTCCATCATTATCAATACATAATTGAATGCTCCCTATACACACCATCAATAGTTTAATCATCTTTCCTGTACTTACATAATTAGTTATATATAGGAGAAAGAGGGAAAACAATAGTTAAAACTGAAGGCAGGTTTATGGATATGAGGTAGATCACTGACTCTACTCTGAGGAAAAAAGATAAAGAAATAATAAGAAAATGAGTAGATCACTGAATCTACTGTAAAAAGGGGAAGATATAACAATGACAAAAGGTAGACTACTGAATGTATTATGAAAAGAAAAAAGATAGAATATGGATATGATAAGATAAAAAGGTCCATTTTTGAATCTACTTTTAAAAAGGAACTACTTGTTTAAAATAGGATAAGTAGTGAAATTTTTTGGCTGAGTATATCAAGTGTTACTGGACTGGACATTGTTAATATATTTAATGGAGTTAATATATTTAATGGAGTTTACATCGTTAATGTAATTCTTGACTATATTGTATATACTTACTGGATAGTTTTTCTTGTATTAGTTATAAGCTTTTTTTTTAATTTTAGACAAAAAAAAAGGGGAAATGTGATGGTATTGTGTTCCCCAAAATATTGTGCACTCTATTAAACTTATCTGGGGTCAGAGACAGAACAGCCACAATATTAAACATAGAGGATAGGCAATGGTAGCACACGC